ATGGCCATGTGGTACCTTGTATGGCGCTAGTCCACAAATACCGAGTATTTTAGCTCGCGCCATGTTTTATCCCAAAATGCCAAACTTGGACGAGAATTCATTTTCTTTGACTTGCTTCCCCTCTCACCTTCACGAATTACTTGTTTGAAATAGCATAATGCTTAAAATCTCAATATGATCCCATCCTCGAACTTACGTCGATTAACTTACGACGAAACTTTAAGATACGAAAATGCGTGATGTAACACCATCTCCTGCTCTAAGGCACTCATTCTTGTTTCCCATCTGCCACTTGAGGTTTCCACAACATCCTGCTCATGCGGTAGGGAAGCAGGGACATGATCATGTGGTGGAGAAACAACAACATCCTCATCTTGCACCTCATTGCCATCTTCGAGTGCATCAGACTCCATGTTATCCGCCTCAACAGGCCCAGCAGGGTCCTTCCCAATTACTATTTTATCAGCCCAGAATTTTTGTTCACGCTTAACTTTTCCATCCATATCCCTATTTTCTGCTACACGTGCCTCACGGCATAACCGAGTGACTAAGGATGGGAAACAGTGAATGAACATCTCGTCCTGAATAACCTTAGCCACATTAAAATTGTGGCCATTGATAAAGCTTGCGGCCCATGGACCATTCACCTCAGTGGTGTTTCCGGAAGGCAGCAGGCGGGTATTTATAATGTAGAGCCAGCACTTCCCTTCAAAAGTAAGCGACGCTGAATGAAACTTCTACCCCTGCTTTATCCACACTACCTCCTTGTTGGGGACACAAATGGTTCTAAAGAACAGCTGCCACATGGTCGGTACTCTTCTGTACGTGTCATAGTGGTCTTCTGCTTCAGGATCAACCCCAAACACTAGCAAACGGTAGACCCGTCGAATGGCCTCTTTGGATACATCCACACACTTCTTTCAAACTGTGCAGGCATGGTTGTCATGTTCCAGGCAGTTCACTTAAAACTCCCGAACAACCATTAATTTGGCCTCTTCAGGTTCTTCAAAAAATATCCCCAAGCCGCGCCTGACCAATTCATGATACATATTGGGACAGTCATTTTGCAGGGACTCCATATCAATTCCCCTTTCCGGTATGGGCTTCTTGCTTGCCTTGCTTTGAAATTGTTCCTAGGCTTCCCAAGAGACGAACTTGCTATAATCATACGGGAGAGCAGAAGTAGAAGCAGAAGCTCGCAACCGGGACGAGCCAGCTTGACCACTTGAGGAGGCGCCTGTGGTTTTTAGTTTTCTGGATGGCGCCAAAATGCCTATAACAAACACCAAATATCAGCTAATGGCATAATTGGTGAACCAAGAGAGGCTACTCAGACTTCACCTTCTCACTTGGTCACAAAATTACACTCCCAAACTCTTTGTGGCATTTATGTGAACACCTGATAAGCACAGCTCTTCCGAACCTCCCCCCCCCCTACCCACCCACCCACAAAACAATTTTAGCCCTAATTAGACTAAGAATGCACCAATGTTACACCTAGCCCATCCATGGTGAAATTCAACTTCTACCCCATAGGAAAACGATAATAAACAGAAAGAAAACACTAACAAAAATCTACTACAACACAAGAAAAAGAAAATAAAACAAACAAAGAAAAGAGGGAGAAAGCATCTTACTTACCTGAGGAAAAACTTGTGAGGATGTGGTAAGGGGAGAAGAGGAAAGATTGCACTGGCATTGATGGCAGTATTATATTCTTAAGAGAAGATATGAGAGAAGGGGGTGGGTTAGGGTTGTTTAGTGTAGGTGAGGGAAATTTTAGAATTGGGGGTTTTAAGAAGGGAAGGTCCGAAAGTTTAAAAAAAAAAAACTCACCTGATGTGTGGTCGGTGCGCGGTCGGGTTGCCTCATGCGCGGCCGCGCAAGTGAGGCAGAACAGGGCTGAAAATGCACGGCCACAGACGTGCCGCCTCAGCAGTCGTAACTTTTTGTGCAACCAATGCGTGGTCGCACCCCCAGGTGCGCGGTCCCGCATCTATTATTATTTTTCTTTTTTGAAACCTCACTTCCTACCTTCCATGACATGTACCCTCCTGCACCTACTACATCATAATATACACTAATTTCTATCTATTCTACACCATGAACAAAAGTGAAACAGAAAAAAGAAAATCTAACTAGTAGAAGGGTTAGAGGTAGTTCTGAGTTATAGCCATTAGCTTGACTCAATCGAGCATCCTCAATTGATTATGATGCTCGAGGATTGCTGCGCAAATCCTCCAACAAGATACGGTTTTAGTCTGTGCCCATTTACTTTGAAACTTTCTGCTCCGTCTTGGTTCTGGATCTCAATTGCCCCATATGCTGATACATATTTCACCATATACGATCCCGTCCATCTAGACTTGAATTTTTTGGGGAATAAATTTGAGTCTACTATGGTACAGTAAGACTATGTCCCCTTTATGAAACTCATTTGGCTTAATCAGACGATGATGCCACCTTTTAGTCTCCTTAAAAACCCGCGCATTTCATGCGCGTCCAGTCTGAGCTCCTCCAATTCATTCATCTGCGCCAAACTGTGATCACCTGCAAGACTAAGATCAAGATTAAGCATATTAATTGCCCAATAAGCCTTATGTTCTATCTCAATAGGTAGGTGACACGACTTTCCATACACTAATTTGAATGGGGTAGTCCCTATGGTCATTTTGAACGAATTTCAATAAGCCCATAGAGCTTTATCTAACTTGACAGACCAATCTTTACGAGAAGCAAGAACTGTCCTTTCCAGAATTTGTTTAAGTTCCCGGTTGGCCACTTCAACTTGCCCACTAGTTTGGGCATGGTAGGGGTTCCTATTTTGTGTGTAACCCCCATACTTGGACAGCAGTGCAGCAAACTGCTTGTTCACAAAGTGTGACCCATTTTCGCTAATAATCACTAGGTGTCCCAAAGCGGGTAAAGATGTTCTTCCACAAAAACTCACACACCACCCAAGCATCATTGTTCCTAGTAGGGATTGCTTCAGCCCATTTAGAGAAGTATCCAACGGCTACTAGGATATACTCATGATAATGAGACGTTGGGAACGGATCCATGAAGTCAATGCCCCAAACGTCAAAAGTTTCACATACCAGAATGGAGTTGAGAGGCATTTCATCCCTCTTGCTAATATTACCTGCTCTCTGACATTTGTCACATGCAGCTACATACGCTCTTGTATCTTTGTATTGAGTAGGCCAAAAGAAATCGGCTTCCATGACCTTTGCTGCAGTGCGATTTCCACCATAGTGTCCTCTAGCTGCTCCATCATGGCAATGAGACAGAACACTTGCCATCTCTTCTTCAGGCACACATCTTCAAATCACACCATCTGTACACAATTTAAACAAGAAAGGTTCATTCCAACAATAACTTTTTACCTCACCTTGAAGCTTTCGTCTTTGATCACGAGTGAAGTCACGAGGCAACCATCCACTAGCCAAATATTTGGCTTTATCCGCATACCAAGGCAGCCTTTTTGAGACCACAGCTATGGAGAAAATCTGCTCATTAGGGAACTCTTCCCTTATTTCGACTATTTCAACCGGAGGTTTCTCAAGTTGAGATAGATGATCTGCGACTTGATTTTAGGTGCCCTTCTTGTCTTTTATCTCCAAGTACACTCTTGGAGCAACAACACCCACCGCATCAGACGGGGGTTGGACTCCTTCTTACTCAACAGGTATTTCAAAGCTGAGTGATCAGTGTGTACAATCACCTTACTCCCCACAAGGTATGATCTAAACTTGTCAAAAACAAAGACCACAACAAAGAAATCCTTCTCAGTAGTGGCATAATTAACTTGAGCATCATTCAGTGTTCTGCTCGCATAGTAGATGGGCCTAAACATTTTATCTCTTCGTTGCCTTAGAACTGCTCCCACAGCTACATCACTAGCATCACACATTATCTCAAATGGCTGGCTCCAATTCGGTGTCACCATAATAGGAGTACTCACAAGCTTTTCCTTTATCAATTCGAATTCTCTTAAGCACTCCACATTGAAAACAAACTTGGCATCTTTCAGTAGCAATACTGTCAACGGCTTGGTAATGCTGGAAAAGTTTTTGATGAACCTTCTATAGAACCCAGCATGTCCCAGGAAACTTCTAATGCTCTTCACAAAAGTCGGTGGAGGGAGCCTAGCAATTACATCAACCTTAGCTCTGTCAACTTCAATTCCATGTGCAGTTACTTTGTGGCCCAGGAAAATTCCCTCCTTCACCATGAAGTGACACTTCTCCCAGTTAAGGACCAAGTGAGTGGCTTTACAACGTTCAAGCACGAGCTTTAAATTCATCAAGCAATCCTCAAATTCATTACCAAAAAGGGTGAAATCATCCATGAACACCTCTAGACACTTCCCGTTTAAATTAGAGAATATAGACATCATGCACCTCTGAAAAGTGGCAGGTGCATTACACAACCCAAACGGCATCCTCCTGTAAGCAAATATACCTGATGGGCAAGTGAATGTGGTCTTCTCGACATCTTTTGGGGCAATGGGTATCTGATTGTAGCCTTAGTACCCATCCAAGAAGCAATAGCATCCATGTCCAGCCACTTTCTCAGGCATTTGATCAATAAAGGGGAGTGGGAAATGATCTTTCCTTGTTGCATTATTCAGCCTTCTATAATCAATACCCATTCTCCCCTAGTGACTATTCTTGTGGGGATCATTTCATTGTCTTTATTTTTTACCACTGTCATGCCCCCCTTTTTAGGTACAACTTGCACTAGACTAGTCCACTGGCTATCAGAGATGGGAAAAATCACTCCCGCATCTAGCAATTTAATGATCTCCTCATGCACTACCTCGTCCAAATTTTTGTTCAACTTGCGTTGAGGCTGCACCACTGGCTTGCTATTTTCTTCCAACAGAATTTTGTGCATGCAAATGGCTGGACTGATTCCTTAAATATCAGCTATGCTCCAACCAATGGCCTTCTTGTGCTTTGTCAGCAGCTCCACCAGCTTTTTCTCATGTGTACCTGTCAAGTCAGCAGAATAATCACAAAAAAATTGTTAGTTTCGAGAAAAGCATATTTCAAGTGAGTGGGGAGGACTTTCAATTCCACATTGGGCTTAGAAGCCTCCTCTTTTAGTTCCTCCTCGTCAACCACTTGATCATCAGTTTCAAGAGCTTCAACCTCTTTCTTTATTTCAGGGTCTTCATCCTCCACTGTGCTAAACTGAGTAATACACCTCTCTAAAGTATCCCCCACAAGCTTGTCAAACTTGTATTTTTCAGCCAACTCTCCAATGACATCTAGCTTGAAACATAAGTAGGCAGACGCTTCATCACTGGGGTATTTCATCATTTTCTTCATCTGGAATGCCACTTTCTCATTGCCCACTCTAAGCATAAGTTGCCCCTCATAGATATCAAGGATGGCTCTACCTTTACATAAAAATGGCCTCCCCAGAATTAAAGGCACCTCCTTGTTCACCTCCATATCCACCACGATAAAGTTTACGTGGAACACAAACTTGTCCACCCATACTAGAATATCTTCAATGATTCCCTCAGGTAGAATGGTGGTTTGGTCAGCCAGTTGTAGGGACACTGGTATTGATTTGATCACTCCAAGTTCACCTTCCAGTTTTCTGAATACAGACAGAGGCATTAGATTTATAGACGCACCAGAATCATAGAGGGCCTTGTCCAATTTTTTACTCCCCAACGAGCATGGTATGGTTAAGCTTCCTGGGTCCCCACACTTTTGGGGAATTTTGTTTTGGAATATGGCACTGCAGTGGGCATTCAGCTTGACCACTATTGTTTGCTCTAATTTTCTCTTGCTACACAAGATTTCCTTTAAGAACTTTGTATAAGCAGGCATATGAGTGAGTACTTCTAAGAAGGGAATGTTCACATAAAGTTGCTTGAGCATCTCCAAGAATCAACCAAAACATTTGTCAAGTTTCTCTCGCTTCATCTTTTGAGGGAATGGTAGAGCTGACATATGTATACTTTCTTAAATCTTCTTTTGTACCTCACTACTTTGGCATTTTTGCTCTTCACTCCTTTTCTCTGCTGGTGCATCAGTATGCTTGTTAACCACCTTAGGTCTAGCTTTCACCACTGGGTCAGTCAATGCTTTGCCGCTTCTCAAAGATACAGCGTTGATTGTTTCCTTTAGGTTCTTTTCAGTGTCAGAGGGAAGCGTCCCGGGAGCCCTCTCAGACAACAAATTTGTAATCTGTCCCATTTGTCTTTCTAAATTTCGGATAGTCGTGCCGTAGTCTCAAATTTTTCATCTGTTTTGTTGATGAATGCCTTTATGAGATCTTCCATATTTGACTGATTTGGCTGTGGTGGCTGGTACTGCTGCCTCTGCTGGTTCTAAAAACTTGGTGGTCCCTGACCCTGGGGTATGAGATTATTTTGCTGCCATTAGTTCAAGATCCCATTAGGTGAACTCCACGAAAAACCTGGATGTCTTTGACCCATAGCATTAATGTTGTTCCCACCTTGGTAGCTTCCTCTATTAAAGTTTCCCACAGCGTTGACTTCCTCAGCTCTAGCTTGACACTCATGTGTAGGGTGTCCCAGCCCACAGATGTCACAACCCACCTATGGTTGATTTTGCACCTGAGCCATCGTTAATTGCTTGATGTCCTTAGCCATAGATGCAATTTGGGCCTGCACTGCCTCGCCAAGACCGTTCCTCATTTTTTGGTGTTTCAAGGCCATAAAACTGAAATTTTGCCTGATTCTAAGATTTTTGTGTGTTATAGCCCACGCCTTCATCATGGACCCAGGCGCCCCCGAACCGGTATCGCCTAAAAAAAATTAGTGCCATTAAAAACAACCTAAGGAACAATAGTCACCGCCTTGCCATAACTGTTCCTCGTTTTTTGGCATTTTAGGGCCATAAAACTAAAATTCCACCCTTTTCCTTGATTTTTGTGTGCTATAGCCCAAGCCTTCCGCATGGGCCCGGGCCCCCCGACCTCGATAGCGTAAAAAATTTTCGGACCATCAAAAACAACTAAGGAACAATAGTCACCACCTCGCCATGATCGCTCCTCATTTTTTGGTGTTTTAGTGCACTAAAACTGGAATTCCACCCGATTTTAAGCTTTTCGTATGCTATAGCCCACGCATTCCGGATGGGCCCAGTCCCCCGGACCCCGATCGCCTAAATTTTTTCGAGACTATCAAAAACGACCTAAGGAACATAAACACTACCTCGCCATGACTGTTCCTCATTTTTTGATGTTTTAGGACCGATTCCCAGATTTTCGTGTTATATAGACCTTGCCTTTCCCAGATTTTCGTATGTTAAAGCCCACGCATTCTGCATGGGCCCAGTCCCCCGGACCCGGATCGCCTAAAAATTTTCTAGACTATCAAAAATGACCTAAGGAATAATAATCACTGCCTCGCCATTGCCGTTCCTCATTTTTTGATGTTTTACGGCCGATTCCCAAATTTTCGTGTTCTATAGCCCTTGCCAACCGCACGGGCTCGGGACCCTCGACCCAGATCGCCTAAAAATTTCCTAGGCCTTCAAAAGCAACCAAAGGAACAAAATTCACTGCCTCGCCATTACCGTTCCTAATTTTTGGCGTTTTAGGACAATAAAAATGGAATTTCTCCCGATTCTCATATTTTCGTGTGCTATAGCCCACGCCTTCCGCATGAGCCCAGGCCCCCGGACCCGTATCGCCTAAAAACTTTTCGGGCAATCAAAAATGACCTACAGAACAATATTCATCGCCTCGCCATGATTGTTCCTCATTTTTTAGCGTTTCAGGGCCATAAAATTGGAATTCCGCCTAATTCCCTAATTTTCTGTGCTATAGCCCACGCCTTCCGCATGGGCCCGGGCTCTAGGACCCGGATCGCCTAATATTTTCCAGGGCCATCGAAAACCACCTAAGGAATAATAGTCACCACCTCGCTATGAATGTTCCTCGTGTTTTGGCGTTTTATGGCCATACAACTGGAATTCCGCCGATTCTATGATTTTCGTGTGTTATAGCCCGTGCTTTCCGCATGGGCCCGGGCCCCCGGACTCCGATAGCGTAATATATTTCTGGACCATAAAAATGACCTAAGGAACAATAGTCACCGCCTTGCCATGACCTTTTCTTATTTTTTGGTGTTTTAGTGCCATAAAACTAGAATTCCGCCCGATTCTAAGTTTTTCGTGTGTTATAGCCCACGCATTCCGCATGGGCCCAGTCCCCCGGATCCAAATCGCCTAAAAAAATTTTGGACTATCAAAAACAGCCTAGGGAACAATAATCACTGCCTCTCCATGACCGTTCCTCATTTTTTGATGTTTTAGGGCCGATTCCCAGATTTTCATGTTCTATAGCCCTTGACATCCGCGCGGGCTCGGGCCCCTCGACCCAGATCGCCTAAAAATTTTCTGGTCCTTCAAAAATAACCTACGGAACGAAAGTCACCGCCTCGACATAATCGTTCCTCATTATTTGGTATTTTAGAGCCATAAAAATGGAATTTCGCCCGATTCCCAAATTTTCATGTGTTAGCCCACGCATTGCGCATGGGCTCAGTCCTACGGACTCGGATCGCCTAAAAATTTTCTGGACTAACAAAAGTGACCTAAGGAACAATAATCACTGCCTCGCCATGAACGTTCCTCATTTTTTGATGTTTTAGGGCCGATTCCAAGATTTTCGTGTTATATAGCCCTTGCCATCCGCAAGGGCTCTGGCCCCTCGACCCAAATCGCCTAAGATTTTCCTAGGCCTTCAAAAACGACCTAAGGAACAAAAGTCACCACCTATCCATAACTGTTCCTCATTTTTTGGCTTTTTAGGGCCATAAAAACGAATTTTCGCCTGATTCCCAGATTTTCGTGTGTTATAGCCCACACCTTCCGCATGGGCCCAGGCCCCCGGACCTGTATCGCCTAAAAAGTTTTCGGGCAATCAAAAATGACCTAAGGAACAATAGTCACCGCCTCATCATGATTGATCCTCATTTTTTGGCATTTTAGGGCCATAAAATTGGAATTCGCCTGGTTCCCAATTTTTGTGTGCTATAGCCCATGCCTTCCGCATGGGCAGGGCTCCAGGACCCGTAATATTTTCCCAAGCCATCGAAAACCACCTAAGGAACGATAGTCACCGTCTCGCTATGACTGTTCCTTATTTTTTGGTATTTTATGGCCATAAAACTGGAGTTCTGTTGATTCCCTGATTTTCGTGTGCTATAGCCACGCCTTCCGCATGGGCCCGGGCCCCAGGACCCGTTTTGCCTAAAAAATTCCCTGTCCATCAAAAACGACCTAAGGAAAGATAGACACTGCCTCACCATATCCGTTCCTCAATTTTTGGCATTTTAGGGGTCATAAAATTGGAATACCTCCCGATTCCTAGATTTTCCTATGCTAGCAGCATGGTCCCAGACCCCCGAATCCGGATCACATAAAATTTTCTCAAGCCGTCAAAATTGAACTAAAGAACAATATTCATCGCATTGTCATGACCGTTCCTCGTTTTTTGGCGTTTTAGGGCCATAAAATAGGAATTCAAGACAATTTCCAGATTTTCGTGTGCTATAGTCCACGTCATCTGCATGCATCCGGGCGATCGGATCTGAATCGCCTAAAATCTTGTCGGTCCGTCAAAAATGACCTAAGGAACAATAGATATCACTTCGCCATGATCGTTCCTCATTTTTTGGCGTTTTAGGGCCATAAAACTGAAATTCTGCTTGATTCCTAGATTCTCGTGTGCCTGCATGCATCCGGTTGACTGGATCAGTTTCACTCACGTTTTTGTCGGCAAATCAAAAACGACCTAGTGGAGGAACTTGTTGAAAAATAAACAGTATAAGGGAGAAATTCAAAAATAGCCAAATTTACAAGTGGTCATTCAAAAATAGCCTAGTTTCAAAAGTAATCGAAATTTAGCCAATTTTCATGTAAAGATAAATCTAAGCGAAAACACTGTTCAAAACCCGAAAAATACGCCGGTATATTATGCTGGAGTTCCAACATAAGTATACTTGAACTCCAGCATATTATACTGGAGTTCCAGGAGAAGTATGCTGGAACTCCAGCATAATATGATGGAGTTCCAGCATAAGTACACTAGAACTCCAGCATAATATACTGGAGTTCCAGCAAAGTATACTGGTCCAGTATAATATGCTGGAAGTTCATACACAAGTGCTCGAATCTCCAGTATATTATGCTGGAACTTTCCATGTGTTGGAGTTCCAGCATAATATGCTGGAAGTTCATACACAGGTGCACCGAACTCCAGTATATTATGTTGGACCGGTGTCTGTTGCAGCAAAATAGTGGCTATCTTTTATTGACTTGGTAAACGCTGACTATTTTTAAATGATCAATCCGAAAACTGGCTAGACCTTGCTATTTTTACTAAATTCGGTCGGTTATTTGATCCCAAAAAGGGAGGAACTCGTTGAATATCGTCTTGCTAAATGCCTAGTTAAAACATTTCACCGGTGGAGTCCAGATACTAGAGGAGATCAAAAGAGGGTAAACAAAAGTTTTGCTTTCGAGGAGAGGGAAATCATATTTTCTAAGATTTTAAAATAATCATAATTCTAAAAGAGTAAAGGAATAGTTCGTTTTCCACCAAGTTCTGCCATTCCAACCATTTCTCTTCTTAAACTTCCCACACCCACAATATTAAAAACAAATTTAAAGATGCTTGTCCAAAAAAGAATAATACTCCATACGTTTTATTTCATATGATATTCTTTTATTTTAGTAATAAGGAAATAATACCTTTTTATATTATAAGTCTTAAAAGTTTAATATCTCATTTTACTTCATGCTTTTATAATGTATTTATTAAGTTTAACATCTCAAATGGTGATGATATTAGAAAGTTAATTGTTAATAAATACTCCCTCCGTTCTCGTTTATGTGAATCTATTTCTTTTTTGGTACGTTCCAAAAAGAATGACGTCTTTCTAAATTTGGAAACAATTTAGCTTGAACTTCCGATTCTACCCTTAATGAAAAGCTTTTATAACCACACAAATACTCTGGATCCCTTTTTGACTTGTTTAGGACCACAAATTTAAAAAGTCTTCATTTTTTCTTAAACTCCATGCCCAGTTAACCAGGCTCACGTAAATTGGAACGGAAGGAGTATGTCAAGTAAAACGAAAATAGTACATCAAGTATCAATTCTCTTGACTACTGTAACAAACTTGTCAATTGTTTTGAATTGGACCTTGTAGTTTAATAGTTGACTTGTAACTATATACTGTACTTATAAGCAACATTCCAAATTATTCTTTTCATAAAATAAGTAACTTTCTTTTTCGTTTAAATTTATAAGTAAGTGCTATTAAATTTCCAGTTTCATTGGAATTTATGTTTCACCAACCAATAAATATATGCATTTAAATATTTAAGGAGACAATTGCATAAGGCTTTATGCATGCTATTGTATAGGTCCGAATTTGATAACCACGGTAACGGGTAAGCAAGACACAGGACGAGGTCAACCACGACACAGCGACTGACGGTCGTCCTCATGAAGGCCGACGGTAGAAGCGGGCAGCTGAGATAGGATAGTAACGGTAACTTAAATTAAAAAATAGGCAGGAAGAATATTCCTTTGGATATTCTTTATGTTGTACTTTTTAGGGTTTTTTTGGGAAGGTCCCTTATAATAGGAAGAGAAAGAGAACAAAAAGGGATCCGCCTTGCTGAGCAAAAGAGAACACATTGTAAAAGCTGAAGGAGGAATATACGAAAAGTTGTCTTACTCATACATTTAAGCACATGTTGTTCACCCTTTATCCATAAATCTCAAGATCCCAAATATATATATTTCGGATCTCTCGTATCACCACGTGACCTTCAAAGTGAAGGAATATCCTAATCAAACAATCACTGGGTGAAAGTTTTTTTTCAATTACGATCTTTGTCATTGCATACATTCATTTCTCATTTATACTATCATCAATCATAGAAAACTAAGTCTATTACTTAATGTTCCAAAGGCCCACGCATCACACTGAAACGTCTTTTCATTAGATCTAGAATTTATTAAGTTCAACTAAGATTCATCCTTCTAATTTATCATTAATTGGTTTAGCATTTATTTGCTCAAACAATTTGGTGCCGTCTGTGGGGAGTTTTTTAGTTGAAACTATAGTCCTTCCTAGGTCAAAAAAAAAGACAACCATTTTTCCTTCGTTTGCACATACTAACAATGGCAGGAAAAGGAGATGCAAGACTGAAAGCAATAGCGGGCATCACTACAAACCTTCTAAATACCATCAACGAAGATGGTAAAGGAGACAACGAGAATGCAACACCGAACGCCACACCCAGGCGGAGTGCTTCACCTCCCCCTCACGAAAGCGTAATAGTTTCGCGCGAAAGGGGAGCCTCCACGTCCGCAGTTGAAGAAGCACCACCAGCAGTGAAAAAATTACTGGAAGACTGGCTGACGAACACTCTAAACAATATACTTGACAGACCCGTTCAAAGGGAGAACAGAAACACCGCGCAAGCGGATACCGCAACAACCCCTGGCGAGCAGCCCGCCCCTCTAACAGGTAACACTAACACTACTGTTTATGCAGGTTACGATGCACTTGCAACCGTCCTAAAGAAAATGAAAGAAATGGAAAACAAAAACAAGGCGCTCCGCGACCAGATGAGGGAGCATCAAGAAAGGGTCGATAAAATACCAGGCGCCCCAAAATTACTGCCAAAACTAGATGTTTGTCGATTCGTCGAACAGCTATACAGCGAGGAAGCGGCCCCACATGCCATTCCAAAAACCTTCAAGATGCCACCGTACTTGAAGATATACGATGGCACTACAGACCCCGAAGATCACATCATCCATTATGTCACAGCAGTGAAGGACAACGATCTTTCGAAGGAGCAAGTACCATCAGTGTTATTAAAGAAGTTTGGCGAAACCTTAACGGGGGGAGCCCTAACCTGGTATTCACAACTGCCAGCGCCGTTGATAGCAACGTTCGAGGAAATGGCTGACAAGTTTGTCACCGCCCATGCAGGAGCTAAGAAGGCAGAAGCCAGGGTGAACGACATATTCGCCCAATCGCCCGGCGAGGGACTCAGGGACTTCCTCGCCCGGTTTAACAGGGTGAGAATGAGCCTACCAAATGTATCAGAAGGGATGGCTGTAGCGGCTTTCCAGAAAGGGTTGAGCATAAACGGGTCGAGGGGAACCAGAAAACTATTAAGCAGGCTCATGAAATACCCTCCCACCACTTGGGAAGAAATTCACAATGCCTATTGCGCCGAAGTAAGAGCTGACGAGGACGACCTTAATGGTCCGACCCAACGGCTGACATCAGTTCAAATAGAGCCGAGGAAAGATCATCGTAACGACAGTCAAAGAGAATAACCAGGCCACCGTATCAACCGAGAAAGACATCAGCCCTACGTTAGAACAGTCGTCCCACCGTCTCCCCGACATGCAGAAGGGCCGCCCAGGCCACACACAGGGACTCAACAGAACGAAAGAGGTATGCCTCCACTCTTATCCGCTCACTATTTTGGTGTTTCCCCTTCAGAAATAGAGTACGCTCTAGAGAAGCTCGGCACAAAGGTGAAATAGCCACAGAAGATGAAGTCCGACCCCAGCACGAGAAAATTGAATGTCCTCCATGAATTTCACCAGGAGCGGGGTCATAAAATTGAGGACTGCATAGCTCTGCGGCAAGAGGTAGTAAAAATGTTGAACCAAGGGCACCTGAGAGAACTAATGAGCGACAGGGGATGGGCCAACTTCGATAGCGGACATGAACAGCACCAGGGACCTCCAAAGCCACCCTCCCCCACTCGTACAATCCAAATGATCGTCAGCGGAGGCGACGAGGCAGTGATCAACCATGTGAAATTCACCACTACACACAAACTCAAACGGTCGATCACTCACGAACGGTATAACAACCTCGAAGACAGTATCATCTTCGACAAGTCGGATACCGACGGTTTGACTTTCCCTCATTTTGATGCTCTTGTTATTACTTTACGTGTTTCAGATACCGATGTGAAAAGAATAATGGTAGACGATGGAAGCGGTGCGTGTATTATCCAGCCTCAGGTCCTCGTACAGATGGACTCGAGAACAAGATAGTACCGCGTTGCATAACACTAACGGGTTTTAATAATGCAGTTGAGCAAACTTCTAGAGAAATAACGCTACCCGTTCTAGCCGGGGCAGTCACCTTCGAAACAACGTTTCATATCATGGACCAAGATACAGCCTACAACGCCATCATAGGACGACCATGGATACACGCCATGAGGGCCATCCCGTCAAGCCTATATCAAGTAATCAAGTTCCCTACCTCCTGGGGAATATTCAGCATCCGAGGCGAACAACGCACTGCTCAAGAATGACATCATATCGCCCACGATTGCACGTACACCCAACAACTAAAGAGAGCAGACGCGGAAGCATAGCAATTAACATTGTCGGGAACCAAATCCGACGTACAGACAGACGTCATCAAGGATCCCGACATCATGGAAGCCGCTGAATAGACGATAGAAGATCTCGATCTCGTCCAACTAGACAACAACGACAACACCAAAAAGGCTTACATCGGGCACAAACTCTCAGAACCGGGTAAATTTCATAAATTCTTAATTGACAATGCTCACTTGTTTGCCTTCTCCTATTAGATATGCCGGACATCCGGAAAGACATCGCTACGCACAAGTTGAATGTCGAACCCGCTCTACCCACCAGTGTGGCAAATAAGGAGAAAATTCAATGCTGCAATCAACGAGGCCGTCAGCGACGAAGTAGATAAGCTGCTCGCCAACGGTTCTATCCGAGAGTCAAAATATCCCCAATGGGTCGCCAATGTGGTCATGGTAAAAAAGAAAAACGGGAAACGGCGGATGTGTGTAGATTTCACGGATCTAAACAAAGCATGCCCAAAAGACTCCTTTCCCCTGCCTCACATCGACCAACTTATTGATGCAACAGCAGGGCACGAACTGCTGAGCTTTTTGGACGCCTACTCGGGTTACAACCAAATCCTCATGGAGGAGGAGGACCAGGAGAAAACTACTTTCATCACCCATCAGGGAACGTACTGCTACAAGGTCATGCCATTCGAGCTAAAGAGCGCAGGGGCCACATACCAAAGGTTGGTCACCAAGATGTTTAAAGACCAAATCGGCAAAACAATGGAAGTTTACATCGGTGACATGTTGGTCAAATCAAAAAGGAAAGAAGACCACATCGACCACCTTACAGAGGCCTTCAATATACTAAGACGGTATGGTATGAAATTAAATCCCGAAAGATGCGCCTTTGGCGTGACCTCAGGAAAATTTCTTGATTTCTTGGTATCACAAAGAGGCATCGAAGTCAATCCAGACCAGATCAAGGCCATCGAAGGAATACCTGAAGTGTTAACCAGCAAAAAACAGGTGCAAAAGCTGACTTGCCAAATAGCCGCCCTATCGAGATTCATCTCACGGTCATCCGACAGATGCCACAAGTTTTTCAATGTGCTAAAAAAAGACAACGGACTCCAGTGGAATTCAGAATGCATCGAGGCCCTGAGGGAACTAAAAACATACTTGTCCTCGCCCCCACTACTCGCCAAAGCAGAACCTGGAGAATGCCTCCTAATCTACCTGGCCATTTTAGAAGTCGCGGTAAGCGCAGTGTTGGTCCGCGAAAACAAAGGTACGCAATCTCCAATTTATTATATCAACAAAACCCTGGTCGACGCCGAAACGAGGTATCCCCACCTCGAGAAACTAGCTCTGGCACTGGTCATAGCTTCACGAAAGCTTAGACCATATTTTCAATGCCACCCCATATCGGTAGTAACGACCTTCCCCTTTCGGAGCATCCTGTAGAAACCCGAATTGTCGGGAAGACTGGCCAAGTGGGACATAGAATTGAGCGAGCACGATATAACATATCAGCCGCAGACAGCGATAAAATCACAGGTACTCGCCGATTTCGTCGCCGACTTTAGTTCCAAAATATAGTCGGAGGTCGAGCAAGAAACACTTCGTACCTCTCCAGGGCAACCCGACCTCTGGGTCCTTTACACCGACGGCGCATCTAATGCGTCGGGATCTGGACTGGGGCTCGTACTTGAAGTCCCAACAGGCGAAGTTATTCGCCAATCCATACGGTGCCCTGAAATGACTAACAATGAGGCCGAGTATAAGGCCGTAATTGCAGGATTAAAGCTAGCCCTCAAATACAGATCACGACGAGTAGTCCTCATGTGCGACTCACAACTCGTCGTCAACCAAGTTACAGGGACTTTCCAAATCAAGGAACAAAGGCTACAGAAATATCAAGCAAAAATTCATAAACTACTTCCAGAATTCGATGAATGTCGACTCAACCAGATAACTCGGGCGCAAAACATCGAAGCATATGGCCTCGCCAAACTGGCAGGAGCAACAAAAAATATCACCAAGGAGAATGTGGTCACCCTCCTCCACTCGTCAATAGACCAACTTGAGGTACATTCCTTAAATCTGACTTGGGACTGGCGCAACCGCATCATGACATACTTACAGGAGGGAGTACTCCCACAAGACAAAGAGGAAGCTAAAAAGCTTCGGATGCAAGCGGCCAGGTACGGCATCATAAATCACGACCTATACAAGAGAACGTTCGGAGGCCCCTTGGCGAAATCCCTAGGGCCGAATCAGACAAGGCGAGTGCTCGAAGAAGTACACGAAGGCCATTGTGGTGCCCGCACAGGCAACATAGCCCTCGTTAGATTCCTCATTCAGGCGGGATATTATTGGCCCACCACGAAAAAGGAAGCCACAGATTATGTCAAAAGATGCGAACAGTGCCAAAAATACGCACCTATGATACATCAAGCGGGCGAACACCTCCACTTTGTTACTTCGCCAGGGCCGTTCATCAAATGGGGAATGGACATCATCGGACCCCTCCCAGCAGGGCGAGGTAAGGTACGTTTCCTTTTAGTTTTAACTGACTACTTTTCCAAATGGGTAGAAGTAGGTGCGTTTGTCCAAATACGCGAACGGGAAGTCATCGCATTCATATGGAACAATATCATATGCCGTTTCGGCATCCCTAAAGAAATCAGCTGCGACAATGGGCCCTAATTCACCGGGAAAAAGACCACTGAGTTCTTCGAAAAATGGCACATCAAGAGAATACTCTCCACTCTTACCACCCCGCAGGCAACAGTCAGGCCGAATCCTCCAACAAGACAAAACTGAACATCTTAAAGAAAAAGCTCGAGCACGCCAAAGGGTTATGGCCGAAATTGCTACCAGAGGTACTATGGGAATACCGCACCACGCCAAAAACAAGCACAAGCAAAACGCCATATTCACTAGTCTACGGGACTGACGCCATGATACATGTTGAGGTCGGAGAGCCCAGCCTAAGGTACTCCAATGAAAGTGGACAGAACAACGACGAGAATACTAAACAAGATCTCGACGAGGCAGAAGAACGAAGAGACATGGCTTACGTAAGAATGGTAGCCCAAAACCAACAGGCAGAAAGGTACTACAACAAAAAGGTCAAAGTACGACCACTCAAAGTCGGAGACTATGTTCTCAAAGCCAAAACACTGGCGAGCAAAGATCCGAAAGAAAGCAAATTAGGAACCAATTGGGACGGGCCATACAAAATCACTGCAGCAGCAAGTAAAGGAGCATTCCAACTAGAAACAATGGAAGGAAAACTACTACAAAACAATTGGAACGTCGCTCACCTCAAATACTTCAACTTCTAAAAAAAAAAGGACGTCCCCCCC